TCATAATCTTATTACATTTGAATATAAGGGTTTAAAATGAAAGGGCATTTCACTTTATGGGGCAACCTGCTTTTGTTAGTATTGTCATCCCAGCCAATTTCTCTAAATGTCTTACTGTATCCCATCTGAAAGTGGTGATAAAATGGATGTTCTTAAGATCGTGTTTTGTCTACCAAGATAATTTCCTACCAATGGATATTTTCTTTCATAAGCTTGGATTTACCCAAGTGTTCTGATTTGAAGTAGCACATGCCTTTTCCTGATGCCAAGGGTATATATCCAGTGAAGATGTCAACAGAGAGCTGTTTTAAATAGTTTCACCCTGCTATTCTCACCAGTTAGCAATCCTCTCAAGCCACTGCCTGAGAGGATTCAGAGGATGAAGCTGAGAACAATCTAATGTTGCCCATACTCGTTCACATGGTCTGCCGTAAGAAGATATCTTAGCCTGCGTGGCTTAAACAGTAGAAATGTATTTTCTCACAGCTCTGGAACCCAGAAGTCCAAGGTCAGTATGCCGGCAGGGCACATTTATGGCGAATCTTCTTCCTGGCAGCCACCTGTTCTCTGTGTCTTCACCAGGTAGAGCACATGTGTCAAACACAAGGCCCGCGGGCCAAATCCGTCCCGCCAGGCCTTGCAATGTGGCCCGCACCACGCTGTCATCACTGCACTCCACTGTGTTTCCATCACAATGACAGTTTATGACTGTTCAGTAAACCATTCGGCCCGCGATTTAGGCTGGATTTTAGATTTTGGCCCCTTCTCTGATTGAGTTCGACACCCCTAAGGTAGAGAGTAACACCTGTTCTTCTAAGGACAACAACCCTATGGGATTAGGATCTCAACCCGTGACCATATTTAACTTTCATTATCTCTCTAAAGGCCCCTTCTACAAATATAGTCACACTGGGGACTAGAACGATATGTATTTGGGGGTGAGGTGGGGGTGAAGATGGCAGCTGGGAGCAAGGAATTCAGTCCATAACACTACTCATGCATGTGAGGGCATGGAACAACACGATTTACTGCTGGGTTTTGTTGTTGTTGTTGTTGTTCTGTATTTTCTAGACATAGCACTTATAAGTTCTGCTAGAGAATTACCCACCCCCAATTTAACACTATTCTTTCCTTATTATTGTCTCTTTCCTCCTGTTGAAGATGGCTTTGTCTAAAATGCAATCTAGGTGTTTGTAGATTCCCATTTGACTAAGATTGGAAAGACTTATTACACAGTAATTGTGTAAAGAATATGAAAAGGTGTTCTATGTACGATGGGAAATATGTAGGTGTTGTATGTGGGAAAATGTCCACTGTACTCCTCAAATGAAAGCAAAATCAAAGGGTGAAAGCAGGATAGAATAGAGTGCCCATGTTGTTACTGACATGAGGAGGGGACATTCTCAGGGCACTGCTGGTGGGCAGCAGGGCAGTTTATTTTGGCTCCCCAAAGTCTGAAATATGCACAGCTTCCTCATTCCATCAATACCAGATTCAGGAATTTATCTATTAAAACTGTCAAAAATGTAAAAATGGAATAATATTTGCAAAAAATAGATACATTTTGATACCTATGGCTATTGGTACAAATATTTGTTACATTGCTATAGAAAAAACTTTGTTGATATAAGAAATAGTTCATGGTATTTTGCTGAGCAAAATAAAATTTTTACATAGAAAGCATTGCGTTGAGACCCCTTATATAAAACTTATCATGCAAAACGAGTCATTTCAGAAAAAAATATCAATAAAACATCTACCAAAATATCAAAGTGCATGCACTATCTGGGGTGGCAGGTTTACAGCTGATTGCTCTTCCTTTGCTGTGTGTGTGTGTGTGTGTGTGTGTGTGCATGTGTGTGTGTGTGTCCCTACATTTCTGGATTTAGCATAGATTAACTACTAATTTTAGTGGATTATCTCTAATTAAAACTGAAGCTCTTACCCATAGACTGTGAAGCCGGGAGGCTTAAGGCTCTTTATGCTTACCCTTCGGTGATCCACAGCCCTCCCTCTCCTCCCGGTGCTGTGAGATAAGGAGATTGGGAGTGGAGGCTGATTGGATTCCCCATCCATACTTAGTGATGACCTAGTGGTTCAGTTAACTCCAGACGTGAAAAATTATGAACCATGAAAATTATTCCAAGCCATTTTTGTGCAGGCACAGAGGTTGCCTTGGGTCACAGTAGCTCCGTCTCAAGGGGATAAGCCTTGTGAATTTCACTTCCCTTTCTGTTATTGCTATAGGAGAAAGGAGGCGCAGATAAACAGACTAAATTATTATTTATATTCTGGGGATCAGAATGGTCAAGTGCCTAAGGATATACCTTGATTCTTTGCCTATTAAATCTCATATTTTATTATGATAGGTTACTATCATACTTTTAAGAGTTACATTTTATATAAATTGGTGTGTAGACAAGCATTTAGGAGGCAGTACAGGTTATGTGAAATAGGTTGACACATCAAAGAACACCAAAATAGAAATGAAAAGAGAGAAAATCTGGGTTCTAGGTCTACTTATGTTACTTAATAACTTTGAGACCTCATATAATTTCTTTGTAAAAAAAAAAAAAAAAAAGTATTGATGGTAATACTGGCCCATAGCCTGAATTCACGTAGGCCCAATGAAAATAATTTAAAATACATAAGACTCCTCCTTTCTCAGCTTTGGGCTGCCTTGGACAGTGTCCCCTTTGGAAGTCACAGGCATGCCTGTGGGTGCAGATGCAAAGCCAAAGGTGGGTCATCTTAGCCTTTTTCTTTCCTTCTTACTTTCTGCCCCTGCCCCCTTCCTTCATCTCCCAAACCTCTCCTAACAGAAGGGCATGGCTTTCAAGCGATTTTACCATTTGTTCACCTGTTCATCTACATCCTTATCATTGAGATTTGAACAAATGAAAATAACAGGTATGAAAGCAAATTGAATACACAACTGTACCTATTATCCACCTGATCCCACCACCATAATTAATTAAATCTGTTTCTTTAATCCTATTGGCATCCATCACCTAAACTACTCTCAATAGCCATGGTTGCATTTTAACAAATTATATTTATTTTGATCCTTACTGTTTTCTCAAACTTTGCTTCCTAGTATTATTTCCCCAACCCTCTCATCTATTGTTTGTAACAGACTTATTTTTCCAATGCTGATCCAATCTCTATTGGTAGCAGCATAAAGAATTCACTACCAAAAATTAAAAACAAGTTAAAACTAAGTGGAAATTACCAATGAGCAAATTCGATGACCACTTTTTTCTTTTTGATTATATATTTACTGGCATAAGAAAAGGCCAAATCTATAAAGAATTCTCATGAGTTTACTTGAGTGGCCACATAGATGGGGAACAAGATATCTGCTCTGAAGACTGTTTTGGGGTATCTTTTATGCATTTGAAATTAAGGAGAGGATGTAGGAAAACTGGAGAAAGCTCAGAGAGGATTGGATTACAAGAGAGTTAACAAGATTATATGCTCTCTTGAGGGTTAATATTCTCATCAAGCAGTATTTCAAAGGCTCGTTAACCTAGATGCACAAGAACAATGGATAGGGCTGGCTTAAAACCGTTTACTAAAGTTATTGGCTTGAGGCATGACTACCCACCACGGCCTGCCCAGTTAATAATTTATAATCTGTTCACTATATGAGGTTACTTTGCATAGAACTCCTTTTTTCCCCCTACACATATTTAAAGGAAAATTTGTAATGGAGCTCTTTGGGTTTGCATAACCCTAAATTATTAACTAAGTGTAGCTAATAATACAGTCTGAGGGCTGCTATGAAAATTATGTCACTTAGTGTAAAAGCCAGAATGTACAGACATAGTGTAATAGGAAATACGTTTTAGCATTCACAGAGCACTGGTTCCTGGAAGGACATGGGATATGATAGCTTTAGGTAAGAAAGTTACCTTTATTTAGTCCTAGTCTTTTTTAATGAATAATGATTTTGTAATTTCTTGTTAAAAAATGTTGTTAGTTGCCCAGCCAGCATGGCTCAGTGGTTGAGCACTGACCTATGAACCAGGAGGTCAAGGTTTGATTCCCAGTCAGGACACATACCCAGGTTGTGGGCTCAATCCCCAGTAGGGGGTATGCAGGAGGCAGCCGATCAATGTTTCTCTCTCATCATTGGTGTTTCTATCTCTCTCTCTCTCCCTCTCTCTTCTTTTCTGAAATCAATAAAAATAAATTTAAGAAAACAAAACAACAATATTTTCAGTTAATTATTATTTCCTATACTGGTGAGCATTGCTAGATAATATATGTGACAAATATTTTGTTTAAGACAAATGCAATAGAATAAAATGATATTAGTTTAACCTGAGCATGTGTGTTCATTTAGGAACCGGGATGATGCTATGAGTTTCTCCTTCCTTTCATAAATGAACTCAGACAAAACAAACTATGGCAAATGAGCTTTGCCAGATTTAAGGAGCTTTGTTTACTCCTTAAGAGAGAGAACTTGGTAAATATTTGTGGAGTGGGCTAGTTATTTACTATATTTTACAAAACCAGCTAAGTTTCTTATGTTAATTGTGCTATTTCTTAATTATTTATAAATTATTAACCATTTCTTTTCTGTGATTTCTGTAGAAAGAGGAATTTAACAAGTTTTCTTTTTAGGTGGAAATATGCCAATGCCCAAGTAATAAATTTACCTAACAGATATGTAAAGGTGGTTTGACTAGCTTCTTTTTAAACTCAATATTTCTTTATATCTTAACTCTTTCTTGTAATCTTACTTTCATTTTCCTTCCCCCACTTATCTTGAAGATGAAACACAAAGTTGTGCATGTATTGGGGAATTTGGTTGGGGTTGCTGGACGAGGAACTGTTCTATTCATATGTTTCCCCTTCTGCCATTTTGTTATGGGTTTTCTCTGTAGTTCATAATTTCCATTTTGCCAAAGTGTATGGCTCAGAGTTGCCTGCTAGTTGTGTTTGTGGACAGTGATATCATCAGATTGCATTGAGTGTTTCCTCTTGTATTGCAGGAGCTATGCCTGTCCCCGACCAGCCTTCGTCAGCCTCAGAGAAAACCAGCTCCCTGAGTCCTGGCCTAACCACCTCCAACGGGGATGGCTCAGAAACAGAAACCACCTCCGCCATTCTTGCCTCAGTCAAAGAACAGGTAGAAACATTCCACTTATACTTATGGGCGTATTTAATCAAAAAGTTCTTTCCTATTGAACAATGATTGTTGGGGGGAAAAATCATGATTTACTAGTGGATTGTTGGCATTCATTATCCAATTAACATAAAGATATGGCTATAATTGTTTTTGACTCCATGTTTGTTTGTTTTTTCATAATTTAGGCAAATATTCTTGAAATAATAGCCCAAAGGGCAAAAACAACTTTACAGTCATGCTTACATATTGATGAAGTTTTGGCAGATTTGGTGATGGACCTAACTTTTAATACTATTAAATGCACTAAGCCAAATAATTTGTCTTAGAAAATATAAAGTCTAATAAGCCATCAAAATATATCCACAGGGCTGAAAACTAAGCATGTGTGATAACAGGTGTATATAATATTGGGTCAATTCAAATTTGCCTTCTCAGTGTTTCTGAGAGAATGGGTCTGGAAGAACACAAGAATTTCCCCTTTAAAAGTAATTGACATTTTGATTGTTTCTTCCTTCACATTACTTTGCCATAAAAATTGATAAATAAATAAAATTTGAAGGCTTAGATCTAAACAATTAATTTCTTAAAAGTTGTATTCCTTGTAAATAAGAGGTAGTAACTAATTAAAGAAAACTGGAAAGTCAGTATTTTTCAGTTTTTTTTTAGCATGTGCTAGAATATAAATGAGAATTGTTATTAACAAAGTGGGTTATATAATTGGGTTATGTGGTTGAATTAACAAACACAGTGGGTGAGAGTGGCATAACTTGTCTAATTTCAAGAATATCTCAACAGATCAATAGTCTAAATGAGGCAATGAAGGACAGTTACTCTACTCAAAAAAGGACTCTAAGTTTTGGTCTATTTGTTTGTTTGCTTGTTATATGTTGGGACTAATTTAAATAAAAGTAGGAAATCACCTTGATGGTCAAATTATCAATAGGGAAGTTGAAGGAAGCCATTGCCAGGCCCTGGCCAGTTACACAGTGCTTAGAGCATAGGTTTATGAACTGATGGGTCTTGGGTTTGATTCCCAGTCAAGGACACATACTTTGGTTACAGGTTCAATTCCCTGCTTTGGTCAGGGCTCATGCAGAAGCCAGCCAATTGCAGAAGCCAGCCAATTGCAGAAGTCAGCCAACTGATGTGTCTCTTTCACATTGATGTCTCTCTCTCCATCTCTACTTCTCCTTTCCATTCTCTCTACAAATCAATGGGAAATGATAATTGAAAAAATTTTAAAGAAAAAACAAAAGCAAAGTGTGCCACCAGATCAGGGGGTGTCCAGCTAAGTAGGTACACAAAAGAAAGTTAAATAGTTTAGTTGGATAATGTAGTTTGTGAAAATAGTAAGTAGGAGATTGGTTTGAGGCCTAGACAGTATTGCTTAATTAGTTTACTTTCAAATGCCAACCTGGGAGAGTTTTCTGATTATTTTTAAGAAACAGTGGAAAAGGTGAACAAAGGTTCATGCCACTTGTCTCCATGCACAGGGTACTGCTTGTAATGATTGGGTTATCCCAGGCTTCATTATTTTGGCATTATTTGGAAGCCTTGCTAGGCCAATAAATTCATAATAATGACAAAATATAAAACACAAGACATAACTTTAATAAGAAAATTCTCAGACCTGTCTGATGACAACTATAACATTTTGTCAAAGGACATACAGTGATTCAGAATAAATGGAAAGTCATGCCACAATCCTGTGTAGAAAAGCTTAATATCATAATCACATTACTCGCTCCCAAACTGACATACAACATTTAGACAGTTGTGATTAGAAAGCTGTGGCCAATGGTTCATTTCTTTGGCAAACTGGATCAGACTATATTAAAGATTACATAGAAGTATAAATATATGAGGCCAAGGAAATTTTTTATAAGAGAGATTTTCACCTTACCAAATATGTCCATCACAGTAGTGTCTAACTTCCCACATAGAGAATGATCTCTAGAAAATATAACTGCATGTTCAGAACAGGATCAAACATATAGTATTGGAGTTATATGCATTTGAAGTATTTTTGTTTTAGTACAAAGCAGGGGTTTAGATTGCATTAACATAATTGGCTAACCATCTGGAAGAAAACACCCACCAGCAAGTATGCAAATTAGCCCAACAAAGATGGCAGAAGCCATGGAGCTGGAGCAAGCAAGAGGCTTGGGTTTCCCCTGGCTTGGGTTTCCCCTGCCCTGACTGGCCCTGGCTTCCACTCAAAGCTACAAAGTTTCAATTATAGAAGATAAATAAATCCCAGATACCTGCTTCCAGCTGGCTCTGGCCTCCACTCAAGGAGGTGCTGAAAAAAAAAAGAAAGAAAGAAAAGAAATAGAAAAAAAATTAGGGTCTGGGAGCTTGGGTTGCTGGGGGACATGGCCAGCCTTAAAATGGCTATCAGCCCCTCATTCAGACTGGCCACACCCTCATGGGATGAGGGTCCTTGCTGGGGGGCTTGGCCAGCCTGCAAACAAACATCAGTCCCTCACCCGGGCTGGCCAGGCACCTCAGCAGGACCCCACCCTGATCCAGGACACTTCAGAGCAAACCAGCCAGCCCCCACAAGTGCACCAGGCCTCTATTTATACTAATAAAAGCTTAATGTGCTAATTAGACTGGGAGACCTTCTGGACGTTCTTCTGGACAAAGCCATGGTGGTGGGACCAAGGTAGAGGTGGTTAGAGGCTAAGAGGGGAGGGCAGTTGTGGGTGAGCAGGATGGTGGGGGTGGGGCCGTTGGGGGTAAGCAAACCAGCAGGGGATCCAGTTGGAGGCCAGCTGGCTTTCAGTGGGGGTTAGTTGGAGGTGATCAGGAGAATGGGGGGCGGGGGGGGCAGTTTGGAGTGAGCAGGCAAGCAAGGGGATAGTTGGGGAGGAGCACACTGGAAGGGAGACAGTTGGGGGTGATCAGGCTGGCTGGGGGGGGGGGGGGGGGGTGAGCAGAAAATGCTGGCAGGGAGGCATGTGAGTAGCTGGACATTCTTCCAGGGGTCCCAGATTGGAGAGGGTGCAGGCTGGGCTGAGGGGACCCCCCCTCCCCCCACCGGGGCCACTAGTACATGAATGATTGGTGCAAATTGGCAAAATCAATACCAAAAATAATAACAAGGAAAAACTCAACATAAAAAGTAGAAAAATGGGCCAAGAGAATATACGTGCCACAAATATAGGCAAAGTGCAGATATCATTAAAATAACAAGACTTCCGGTATTGATTAAGGATAAATGAAAGAATAGTAAACTAGGCAAAAAAAAGAAAATGAAAAGACAATTCACAGAATTAAAATGCAAGTAACCAATGAATACTTTTTATCCTAATGTGCAAGTCAGGGACATAAAATTCAAAATAATATAATTTTCTTTAATCTACCAAATAATAAACATTAAAATGTAGTATATATTGTAAGTGAGCCAAGGGTTAAGGTTTGAGGAAATTCACATTCTTTTTCATTCAAAATGTGAATTTGCATGGCTGTTATGTTTTTGAAAATTATATTTTTCTATGAATTGATATTTGAAATGTTCAATAGCCTTTGATTAGTCTAACTTAGACTGATACATTTTATAAAACTGAGTGAACTAAAACATAAGATTTTTATGCATATGGGAGTTTACTGTAAAATTATTTGCAATAGAAAAAAACATGAAATGGTATTTATGGTTGAAGAGTTGAAAATATGACATGTCTTTTATGTAAAATACTTCTTATGAAAGATATATCCTTTCTATGTGGTTATTAATAAAAATAAGTTGGACCCATATATCTAAACTTTGAAAAAGTTCATGAGGATTTTAGAAAGGAAATGACATAGTATTATGTTGTCTTGTTTAAAAAAATAGTAAATATGTTTTATTTTTTGCATATTAATGAGCTTCTACAAAAGTATAAAAGAAAATCAATCAATCAATTAGTCTTGGTTACCATTTGTGTTTTCAATTTTATGGAAATGGGTGTGGATAGATGGCGTAGAGGATTAGGAAGAGAAAAAAAAAATGGGGAAAAGAATTGGGAGATCAGAATAAATATTAGTTGGATAATAGGAAATATTCCTTTAGCTAAAATAGCAATGTCTGTAGTTGAGAGAGTGGATAAGCTGTCTTAAGCAAAGATACATTCCTGGGTAAAAAAAAATGGCCTCTCCAAATCCTTGATGAGACTTAAATAAAAATGTATTGGGAAGAGTTTGTTTTTTTTCCTTGATAATTTAAATAAATTCATTGTTCATGTTTGATTGAAAGCTGTAAGATTCTTTGTGGCAGATAAGTAATGTGAGGAGCAATGAAAATTTGTCCTGGGAAGCAGAGATTAGCAACTTGAAATACCCACATCAGAGGCTTGACTGTGAGGAACTATGTATAGTGTCTGCCCTTTCAAAGGCCAAATCCATAGACTTCCTTGGTATGACCCATACAAACAACTGTTCTCTTCCTTTACTGGAGGGTTTTGTTCTAAATTATTCTTAAGGTTTCTTTTTCCCTTTTTTCTCAGATATAGACCATCATCTTTGGAGTTAAAACTAAGTTAAATATAGTTTTTAAAGAGATTGGCCAAGATTATGGAAAAGTGACTTTACAAATTAATTCCTTCTATGATTCTTAATGATTATATGCATAATATTCTTATAAATCTGTTCACTTAAAGATATTGTTTGTCCTCTTTGGTACTAATAAGAACTAGTTTTCTCAAGTAAAAATCCTATTTATAAATTTAGGGAATTTGAAGTAATTTTTTTTTTGATACCACACTTTTGTACTACTGTAGTCCTGTCTCCTTAGAGGTCAGTTTTGCAAGATGAAGCCATCTGACTGCCATGTAATGGGTTACATAGTTGATTTGCTCATTCATTAAACATACAGAACAACTTATATAAACAAAGCACAATAAAGGGTAAAAAGTAAATGTGTATATAAAGAAAAATATCTGATAGAGGTCATTGGAATATGTTGTGAATGAGACTAAGTACACAAGTTTTTGGCAGGCTAACTGCATAAAAATAAATTC